TTGTACCCACTGGCTTGCATGCGATTCACTCCACTTATTTTGTACAAAATGCAAATTGTACTAACCTATAACATTTTTACTAACATTCCCAACAAACATTAAATGTTGAATAAGAGCTTGTTCAGGCAAACGTAAGCTTCTTCAGCTAAAAAATAGCTAATTCAGCTGTTGATCAACTCAAATTGTTTGTTGGGTTGACTTACCCTACTACTAACACTAAATTTAATCCAACACCACTTAACTCTAGGGACGTGACTGTACACAAAATAAAAGCACAACATAAAAAAAAAATGCTTACAATTTGTAACAGTCGGTTACAAAACAGTAATATGAAGAGGATTTTATGGAAATCTTTGATTTTCCAGCATGGCATTATGAGGGAATATCTGAGGAAGTGATTTTAATTGATGGACAGTTAAACACTGAAGTCTTGCACAAATATCTAGCCATCAGGTTATTTGTTCAAGATTTCAGCTTTATCAGATATTATTCTGTAGTTCTTCAACTGTCTAATAGTTCAAACCACATTTCCCAGTTATTCTTGCAAACACCAGCTTTCTCTTGCTTCAAATCCAGGTGAACATACATCTCCTAAAACTCCTCGGGGTATTTGTTCAAGACTCCAGCTTGATCAGCTATCGTTTTAAAGATCTTGTACTGCACAACAACCATACATACCAGGTTGCTCAGAGATTATTAAATTATCATTCTGTTGATCTTGAACTGCAAACAAATAAAATCATATCTACCCTCGAGACTCCTAGATATCCCAGTTTGCTAAGAAATTATTCCAAAGGTCTCCAAGTACACTAAAAAAATCCTCAGGGTATTTGTTCAAGACTGAGACTAGATGCGACTCACCCTAGTGACTCAACCAAGACTCCCGGGTAACTAGCTCAGTAGCATGAGACCCCTTCGGTGACAATAATGAAAGAGCCTTAATTTTTGGAACTCATGAAAACTTGCGCCGTCTTGGACAGGCAAAGTATCTGTTCATGGAAGTATCGCTCCCTCATATCAGCAGATGATTCCGCAAGTTTTCATTCCGATGACAACAAAAACATAATCGATGTATCGAAAAGTATGGCAGGAAATCCTGGAAGCAGCAGGTATGTTTTTATGTTGTTGAATGAAAAACCACAGAATTCACCATTCTTCATTTCATGAGCTGTTCTTTGGAATCATTGGCATAAACTGGACTGGAGCTATGGTCACAATGGTCTATCCTCGGGTTTAACTCGTTGGTTCAAGTCCTATCTGACCAATCGGGAACTTTGTGTTAGAATCGGATCAGAGCAATCGGACTATTTTACAAATAGCTCCGGTGTTCCTCAAGGTAGCAACTTGGGACCATTGCTATTCTCGATTTTTGTGAATGAGGCTGGACTGATCCTCCCAACTGGTTGCCGATCGTTCTACGCGGATGATGTGAAGATCTATGTGATTGTTCGTAGCTTCGCCGATTGCTTGCGGCTTCAACACCTAATCGATACTTTCGAAGAGTGGTGCTCAAGAAACTATCTCACGTTGAATGTACAAAAATGTAATATTATCTCATTTCATCGCAAGCTGAAACGAGTGGCATTCAACTATACGATAAATCACCAACTTTTGCAACGTGTGGACATGGTTCGTGACCTAGCAACATTAACATTCAAGCTTCATTACTCGGGCATCGTTGCGAAAGCTAACAGGCAACTCGGGTTCATTTTCAAGATCGCTGACGAGTTTCGCGATCCTGCCTGTCTAAAAGCTCTATACTGCTCTCTAGTGCGATCGATCATAGAATTCAGCTCGGTAGTATGGTGCCCGTATCAAGCAGTTTGGATAGCGAGGATTGAATCTGTTCAAGGGAAATTTGTTCGGTATGCCTTTCGTCACCTTCCTTGGAATGACCCTGTGCACCTTCCGCCGTACGAAGATCGTTGTCAACTCCTGGGTCTTGAAACACTAGAACATAGCCAGACGATTAGTCAGGCCGTGTTCGCAGCGAAAGTACTTATAGGTGATATCGACTCTCCAGGAATCTTGGCTGAATTCGAAATCTACGCACCCGAACGAGTTCTTCGGTTGATGAGTTTCCTGCATCTTGGACCTCGTACTACGAACTACAGCTTGCATGACCCAATACGGTTCATGTCTGGGCGTTTCAACGAGTTTTACGAGTTTTTCGGCTTTAACTGTGCAGCGGAATCCTTTCGTCACCGTATTCAACGCAGACTCATGAGAAGGACTTCTACCTGATTCACGGGCAACTCTATGCCATAGGAGGATAACTTTTTTCACGTTAAGTCCGATGAAGAAAAACAAATTTAATAATAGGTTATCAATTGGGTTCTTTAATTGTGAAAAATAAATCGGTTACTATTGAATATCACGGCTGCCAAACGGTTTCAGTCAACATGTTATACATATTCTCAAAGGAAAAACTCTGTTGCATCGATTGGTGGTCTCATTGGCCGGAGACTTTTGCGTACCGAGATAGAGGACCGGGATCAATCCGAGTTCCCGATAAAGTAAGAAATGCCACCATCTATCGACATAATTTTACACTTTACTTAACGTTTATTACTGTTAATTGATAGTACTAAGTTCATATGGTGTAAAGACACCATATACGCCCTCAGGGAAACTCTACTGACCTAAAGGAGGATCCGGAACGACCGATAAAGTGGCCACATTATAAAAAATGTCCTAGAATCTTGCGATTTTTTCTATGTTTGTTGAGAATCATGAGATCAAAGCGAATTTAATATGGAAACGATATTTTGGGGTATAGTGACCATATTCTGGTTCTCCTGATAATCTGGATTGACCGATAAAGTGGCCACATTAAACAATTGTCCTAGAACATTGCGATTTTTTCTATGTTGTTCAGAATCAAGAGAACAAAGCGTACCAACTTCTTTGCACAAATACGAACATTTAGCAGGTTATATCGATCAATTGGTAAGGTAAACTACCTAAGCTATAAAAATCAAACTAATCTTTTATTATTTTTCAGCCATACAATATGAATTTTGTGGAGAGCGAATGCACAAGCGCCATAAATTTGCAAGCCAAACCTTGCTAGAAAAATGTCTTCCGAGGCAAATTTATCAGATATGATGGCAACTGCATTAGCATGGTCCGATCCGAAGCTATCGTATCTAAAATACCACAATGAAGGCTCGAAAGTAGCATTTGGTAGTAAGGATGTGAAATACATGGAGGAAGTGGCACAATATTACATGGATAGCAGTGTAGAAGATGAAGGGGAAATGAATGGCGAGCAAGATTGCGACGACATGGAATGCGACAGCACGAGTTTTTGTGATTCTGATATTTACAGTGACGAAGAAGACAAGGAATGAATACCGTTTTATTAGAGGCCTGGATGGGCCTACATAAGTTTTTTTTTTAATTTTACACGTATCACAATACCTAAATTGATTTTTTCCAACTTGTGCGGTAGACAAATGCTGAACAGTTTAGATTATACGATACTTTATCGGTCTACCCAGATTATTCGGAGGACTAGGATATGGTCATTTGATCCCAAACTATAAATTCCACATTAAATACGCTTTCATCTCGTGATTCTAAACAAACAACAGTTCTATAATAATATTTATAATGTGGCTACTTTATCAATCAATCCAGATTATCCGGAGAACCAGAATATGGCCACTTTACCCCAAAATATAGTTTCCATGTTAAATTCACTTTGATCTCATGATTCTGGACAAACAAAGAAAAAATCACAAGGTTCTAGGACATTTTTATTATGTGGCCACTTTATCGGTCGTTCCGGATCCTTCTTTAGGCCAGTACAGTTTCCCTGAGGGCATATATGGTGTCTTTACACCATATATACTTAGTGCTATCAATTTCCAGTAATATACGTTAAGTAAAGTGTAAAATTATGTCGATAGATAGTGGCACTTCCTATGAACCAGGACCAACGGCTTTAATTCCCTCCGAAGGAAGGCGTGATCAGAAATGTTATGACTGGGATTAAATCCAGGCCTGCTGCGATAAGAGGTTATCACGCTTACCACTACACCACCGGCGCCGACACTATACATCATCTAAAGGGCTTCGTTTTCTGAGTACAACGATATGTTTATCGATCCCGTTTACTTCCATCGCGGTTTTTAAATCAAGATTGAAAGCAATCACTAAAAGTAATCACACTTATTTAAAATAAATTATGTAATTTTGGATTTTGGTTCCATTTGAAACACAGATTACGAATTTGAAATAACCTCAATACCCATAAAAACCCAATTGTTTAAAAATATGTGGATCATTTCTCTGCGATGTAAATAGTTGCTTATAGATAAGAAGAGTAGCAAAATTTGTGGCTTCTGAATGTTTGATTTCTATTTAACAGTTCACATTGGCTCTCAGTTGACAAGCATATTAAATGAGTCTGCTGTACCCATATTGAAAAACACCTAATAATCATGAAACAATCCACGTTAAATGATTACAGCGATTCTATGTGGTGGAGACATCTCCCACCGTTGTCAACAACACTTTCACATTTCGTTCGAACACAATGAGTATAATTGATTGTCACTAGCGTATTTAGAAGAGCTGGCAAACGGAGATTGATGATTTTGAGCATTTTAGAAACTTCAAATGGACGCGACTTTTATCAGTCTAAGAGTAATCAAAAGCAAGTTTTCCACTCCATGAACCATCCCCTTCCTGAATGTAGGAACGTTAGAGATAATTTTACATCAAAGGTGACATTTGATTTATTTTCACGATATGGTGCTATGACTTACATTGCAACCAAGGAACGTAGTTCTTGTAGGTATTTGTCTGTCCCACAACGACATACGATGCCAATATCTAATTAAGAGATTAAAGAAAATACATGATTAATAGCTTCGGCTGGACCAGGAACTCGTAGCTACTGTTCATTATTTTCATGTTTTATTATGCTGCTTTCATTTCGGAAGGTAGGGACTGTTTTCGGATTTGTAATGTTCCAGCAAACCAAGCAGCCGTTTCGGATTCAGTACTTTAATTGCTAACAAAATAGTTTATTTATCTGATTTACATCCTCTCGATAAGAATTCTACAATTTTTCGAACATAACAGTGACAGTAGCGATTCAAACTGCTCCTTTATATGACATTAGTTAATTGTATCATCTCACAGTATATTTCCAATAATTTACAAACAATTCCGTACGAAGTAAAATAACCTTTCCAGATTTTCGCTAGCCTCTTCCTGTGTAACCTTTTACTTCATCAAAGAGAAACGGCAATTTAGATTCCGGGTAGCACTCACTAGCATTAGATATATGATTAATGTTGCCTTAAGTTGTTAGTCATATGTTTATACAGAACGAAAATGAAACGATGATGCTCCACTCACTTCACTGCACGCTTCCCGGTATGTCTGGAGAAGATCATATTGAAGGTGTTGTTGGTCGCAGAGTTGCCTATATCCCTAGGTGTTGGTTAGTTGACTTTGTGCAATAGTATGCTACTACCTGTTTCTTACAGCTATGGGGGCCAGCTATACATGATGCCATGAACATCCATCCCAGCGGTACTCGAGAGTAGTTAGGGTGTATTACAAACAGTTACAACGGATGATGAGAAAACGCAGGAGCATTCCAAAACAAAAGATGGGGGGCCGCAGAATTCGCTTACTTCTTGAAGCAAGAGATTGGGTTGAAGTAGCACTGACGATACCGGATCTGGCGTTTCATTTCCGGTGCACGGTACAGCTGGTCCCAGCCGCCTGCTCCACCGATGGCGCTGTGGGTGTTGAAAAATAGAGTTTGTTGAGCTTTCCAGTCGGTTTATTATGCATCAAAATTGGTCAAAGGGTTTCATGTTTCAATACTCCCACTCTACATGGTTATTGATGGGAAATTATAGACTATTTGAAAAATATTTATCGAAATCTGATCAACAACAACAACGGAAATTCGTCAGAATCGACTGTTTTCTAAAATACTCACTTGCTCTGGGCATATTGTGCCAGCAGTTGCAGCTGTAACCGGTCCAGTCCGTAGTCATCCAGTGAGTTCGAACCATACGGGTTGTAGTTGGAGTACAGTTTCCGCAGCTCGTTTAGGTTTATCTCGGGGGCATCCTGAAAGTTAAAAACACAGGTGAATCAAACTTTTCGACTGGATTCGTGCATAAATAGGATAACAAAATGATCCACGATAGTGGATATGTTTATAGTTCCCAACCGGCTAGCGCTAATTAGTTGACTAACCTGGTTTGTTTAAAATATGACATCCCAAGTAGATAAATAACAGGTATGAGTTGCTATAAATGACTCAAGAGCATCATAGCAGCAACGTGCGGAAGTAGAGGAAGGATTGAGCTCATACATTTTTTTTAATTTAGTTCAGATCGAAGACAGAGCGAATTGTTCGTGGAATTCCCTTTGGTTTTCTTGGTGCGTGTTAAATTACCGTAGATTTATAGAAGACTGAAGGCCCGTGTTGGCATATGAAGCAGCTTACACGAGCGGAAAAGTTATCGTTAGACACAGATCAGTGTCCTCCGTGTTTAATTATCAAGTTTAATTTGACTAGGAATGGGGTTTGCAGAAGTTCGCTGTGTGGAAAATTACATATGTAGAAACCACACGGAAAATTCTATTCACTGAAATGGATACTCTACTTTGTGTGAAGGGTAACAACGCACCGTTATAAATTGCCCCTTCATGTACCAAACAGCAAAATAGAACTATTAAGTGTTAACTGTAGGGAAGCAAGCAGCGAGTTAGCTTCTGATCTGAACGGCTTCTGGAGGAAGAGATGTACGCCACTGAAAGCGCCAAGTAAGCAAGCAGCTGACGGGTTGCTAAACCTTGTCCTTCAAAAGGATTTCAGAAGTAGAAATTCCTGAATTAATCCACCTATGATGAGATCTGACCATTCACCCTGCCCTTTAGTTTAGTGAGGGTTAGGGCACGTTCTGCCAGGTTGGTCGAGGCAGATTTAATTTTTTTTCCTTTATTAGAGAGATTTTTAGCCTAAGGCTAGTTCATCTCTTTTAAAAATTACAAAAAAGAATTGGTACCTCAAAAGCAGGATCCCAATCTTGGCAAGTGGGCATTTAGCTTAATTATATAAAATATTGTAAAAACACTACCAAAAGGGCCAACGAATTCAAAAGCACAAACAGAAAACACTCAAATGTTGTAAAAAAGATTCGCCTCCTTCAGGAAGGCGATGAGGGCGTCTGCTGCCGGGGACTCGTCGCCAAGCAGACTTCGTATGCTGGTTCCCTCCAGACCGAAGGCAATGCGAAGGTCCTCGAGCTCCACACAGTTGATGAGGATGTGTTCTACGGAGGCTGGCACTCCGCAGGTTTCGCAGGTTCTCCGGAACGGTGTTCCTCCGAAATTATGGGAGGCCCTGCTATGCCCGGTGCGCAGCCTGGACACCACTTGCTGCTCCTGAGGCTCGGTCGATCCTTCCAGGGATCGGTGGTCGCCTTGATTTTTCGTAGCTGGTGAGTTCGATTGTTCCTCCACTCGTTGTCCCACGCTCTCCGAACCGTCCGCTTGATCCATTTCTTGATGTCCTGGAACGGAACATTGTCAGAGAACCTGGGTTCGATGGGGCCTGAGCCGGCGAGGTGGTCGGCGATCACGTTCCCCTGGATGCCACAGTGCCCGGGTACCCACATGTATACGGTGTTGGGCGGCGCATGCGTTACCGTCCCTTGTATCCACGGATGCTTTGGTGCTTCATCGGTTAGGGCCATTATTGCGCTTTGTGAGTCGGTAACGATGAGGATCGGCCGATTGGCCGGAAGGGAAACACCGAGCACTGGGCCGGAAGTGAATTGCTGACGACCAAACTATCGCCTGAAACCCCCATTCCCACTCCGCTGCTGGAGAGCGAGCCATCGGTGTACCTGATTTCGTGATCTTGATAGTGCGCCCCGAGAGTTTCGACGACTGTCCGGCGCAAAGCCAGTGAGTTGTCTCCTGCCCTGAAGCGGTCCTTGATTCGGCTGTCGATTCTGATCTGATGTGATTGCCAACTTTTGTCTCCGTGCCAGTGGACCCTGGCCACTGGAGGGAGATCTACGTCGGCGACCGTGCGGAGGAGTCGGTTCGCCTCGTCGAGGAGAAAGATCCTGCTGTTTTCCGACGTTTTAGCGAGGAAGGCAGCGGCTTTGGTAGCGGTAGCTGCGGTGTAGACGAGCCGAAAAGGCAGAATACCGGCTTCAACGCACGCGGCGTCGGCCGGGGTGGAGGGCAGGAGACCGGAGACTGTTCTTACGTATCCGTTGTAGACCGGTTCCAAGATTTGGACGGCTTTCTCAGCGGCAAGGCACGTTAGTTCTACGCCGTACAATAGGCGACTGTCGATGATGGCTCGGGCTACTCGGAAGCGGATTTCACGGTTGTTGGATCGGTGGGGGCGGGAGATGGTCTTCATCAGGTTGGATCGACTACGACAGTCCTTCTTCACCTGTTGGAAGTGCGGCTCGAGGGATAGGTTCCGATCGAGGAGCACTCCCAGGACCCTTATTGTGTTTTTGGTCGGTATCGCTTGCTGTTTGATCATGATGGGCTGTCCGTTGTTCCGATGCCGGGTGGTGCATATATGGCAGCGCACGCTCTTGCCGGCGGAAAGCTGGAACCCAACGGAGTCAGCCCATCTGACCACCGAGGAGACTGCCGCTTGCGCTCTTAATTTCGTCCTCTGCATGGTGGGGCCCACCGTTACAATGAGGACGTCATCCGCGTAGACGAAAATATATATGTTCTTGGGTAGCTTGTCGAAGACCCCGTTCATGGCCACCAGGAAGAGGGTGACCGTGATCACCGAACCCTGTGGTACTCCGGTTTCTTCGCTGAACCTTCTGGATTGGACGTTTCCGACCGACACCCGAAAAGATCGGTCGGTCAGAAAGTTTCGGACGAAGTGTAGGATGCGTCCTTTTAGTCCCCATTCGGCTAACTTCTTCATTACTGCTGGTGTCCACGTTCTGTTTAATGCTTTGGAGATGTCCAGCGAGACGATCTCCGTATGATGGCCTTGGTCCTGTGCCTCCTTCAGGACTTCTCCAAGAGTGGCGAAGTAGGTGGAGGTACCGTACCCTTGCCTGAAGGCGTGCTGTCGATGGTCAAGCAGTCCCTTAGACTCCAGGTATTGCTTGAGCCTTCTGTTGACCATCCGCTCCAAGACTTTGGCCATGCAGCAGGTCAGCGCGATGGGGCGGAATCCTGTGACGTCCTTGGTCCCTATATTTGTTTTGGGGATCGGAATCACGAGACTTTCCCTCCATTTGTCCGGGTATTCTTCGTTGGTCCATAGCTGGTTGTAAAGTTCGAGCAATTGTGTTTTCCCTTCGAGCGGTAGATGCTTCAGCAGTGGGTTTCCGATTTCATCCGGTCCGGCCGAGTTTCCGTTGATCCGGCTAAGAGCGAACGAGAATTCTTCCCAGGAGAATGGTTGGTTGATCGGTAGGTCGTCGTTGTCTGTGGGAATTCTGAAAGTGGGCACCGAGGACAGCGAAGGACCGGCTCGTCGTTGGAAACTTTCGCTGTACTCCGCGATTCCTGATAGTTTGGCGAAGTATTTTCCCAGTTCATCTGCTACGCCGTTTGGTTTGGTGATGGTAACGGTGTCGGCTGGCACTTGCAGCGGCGATGATCGCCGCTTGCCGCTGAGGGCATTGATGCGGCTCCACAGTTCTGCTGACGATTGTTCGGCGTTGATGCTTTCCAGGAAATCCGACCAGCTATTTTGCTTCGCCGTCCGGATTTCCTGTCGGTATTTGTTGTGCTGCTGGCGGTAGTTTGCGAGGATTTCCTCTCTCGCAGGGTCGTTCGTAGAGGTTCGCTTGAGTTTACGGAGTGCCTTCCGCCTGGCTTTTACAGCACTTTTCGTGTCTTCATTCCACCATCGGAGTGCCTTCCGCCCGGGAATACTGCCTGTTCTTGGGATGTTGGTGCTGGCTGCTTTGTGGATGACTCCCGTGATACTTGGGATGTCCGTAGGTTCTTCAGTCTGCGCGAGAGTTCGGTAAGAGAGCTGATAGCCCTTCCAGTCGGCTTCTCCATACCGCCACCGTGGTCTTCTGGTGTTCTCCGGTGCCATTGCGGTGGATAACCGGATCTGTACCGGATAGTGGTCGCTGCCGTGCAGATCCGGGTTGATGCCCCATAGCATTTTGCCCGCTAAGGAGCGGCTAACTGCGGACACGTCGATGGCGGTGGTGTGCCGTCCGTTAAAGAACGTCGGGCCCCCGTCATTTAGGATGACTAAATCTTCCTCCTCAAAAATATCGCAGATGGTGACCCCTCGTGGGTCAGCTCTTGGACAACCCCAGGCCGGGTGATGGCCGTTCAGGTCCCCAATGAACATTTTGGGTTCTGGTAACTGCCGAAGTATTCTGCGAATCTCGGTTCCTAGATTGGGTAGTCTTCCGCAGGGCAGATAGGCGCAGGCGATGTAGATACTAGTTGGGTCTTGGATCCGAATGCCGACAGTAGGGAGGTCAGTATCGAGATCAACCATTTGATGGGGGACATTTTTACGGACTCCTATGGCCATAGATCTCCGAAGGTTAGATCCTTGTTTAACGGACCATAAGTAATCGCTGCCAAGTGTCTTATTCATCCGGTTCACCGTGACGTTGTTGACCTCTTGCAGGGCAATCACCAGGGGGGACGCACCGCTGCAGAGGAGTTCCAACTCCGCCAAGTGGAGAAAGTAGCCGCTGATATTCCATTGGAGCATAAGATTCACCGGAACCGGTAGGGCGGGGGTAGGAAACCCCCGCTCCGATCCTCTGGTTGAAGGTCGTTCGATTGAGTGGTGATGGCTCATTGCGTAGTAACTGGAATTTGGGGGTGTTCCAGTCGGACTTGCTGCGGCAGAACTTTGTGCCGAATGAGACGGATCCCCACCAGGGGCAGGTGGAGTCGTTCCACCCACCCGGGGCAGGGGCGTCCCAAGGGTGGTGAAGAAATCTATCGTTGTATTTGAGCTTGGAACTATGTTCGAGGGTGAGCTACTGGTTTGGGACTTGAATCCCTCTTTGTCCTTCGGGGAATGGGAACAACTGCCCTTATCCGTCCCGATATTATGCTGTGCCTTGAATCCCGCGTTG